GGGTGAAAATTGATGTCTAGGGAAAAAAGTCTTATAAGTCCCTAAAGTTCTATCAAACTAATAGTAGTATCTTGAACCTAAAGTAAGCAGAATATAGAATTACTGAAATGATATTATTTAAATGGATTTTATAGAACTCTCAAATAATTATTGATTTAATATAGTTCTAACTTTATACTAAAGATATTCTAAAGTCTTTATTGATTCTTATAACAATGATAAAATTAATTTAAAATTCTGTGATACAACTATAACATGTTCAAATTAACAAAAAGAAGCAAGAGCGAATGGGTACTCACAGGTAAGTAGCTGATAGTAATGTGTATGCCTCATGACACTCATCTTGGGAGAAACACAACTATGTGTGGTGCAGCACAACAAAGGGAAAACTTTTTAATCACTATATAGAAGAAAATAAAAAATGATGTCATGAGATGTACATTTACCAAAAAAAAATGATATGAAGTAAAGATCTGTTTCCATGTTTCACTTATATATGCAATCTCCAGGTGTTCCAAAGCTTACTAGAATGAGAGTGGGTCCAGATGTGAAGATGCTGGCTTTTGGGTTGGGTCATTGGAATGTTAGATTAATGAGCCTTGAACTTGGAGATTACTATAAATATAGATATAGATATAGATTTATGGTATGCATATGCCATTGGTATAAGAAAACAATCTGGATATGTAGACAATCTTCCTGGGAAGATATATGGAGGATGTCTGAGACAAACTTTAATAAGTTTGAGAAAATTCAATCTGAACCTTGGATTGTACATGGATGAGTCACGTTCTGCCACAAATGAGCAGAGTTCATGAGCTCTCTGGAGAAACATATGTTCACCCTATAGTAAGCTGAGATGAGGCCCTGTTAGATGTGTAGTCTGATGTTTGTGTAATGAAGCTTCATGGAGTACAACAACAGTACTAGATTAGGATTCAGAAGACCTAGGTTCTAGGGTCAACACTGTCAACTCACTTTATACCTTGAAGTCTCCATTATTTCACTGATGAAACAAGACTTGGGTTCTGTAGTTAGGCAACTGTGGATTCAGGTTCAGAATTCTTAAAAGCAGTATGACCTAAGACAAACTGTTTGACCTCTGTGAACCTCAAGTAACTTATTTGTGAAGAGAAATATTGGTTCCTAGTTCATAGGATAGTTTTAGTGATTAATGACATAATTTACTGCAATCTATTTAAAAAACTTTAATAGCACATTTAGAGTGCTCAATAAATGTATGACTACCATTATTACTCTATTAAATTTTAAACTGAACTTAGTGGTACAGCAGTTAGTACAACAAACAACATGATGTAGATCACATTAGTGGAATTGTAACTCACTTTATGGTTATAGAAGTGTCCATTAATAGAAGCCCTGTGGAACTGTTGTTCTTTTCTGTCTATCATTGGAGGCTTTGTTCTTTTTCTCACCAGGGCTGCTTCACTCATACATCTATAGAGCAATGGGGGTTCTGGCTCTTCATCTGCATGTAGCTTCAGAGTACTGCTGTGATAAGATAAATAGTCTGGAGAGAATAAAAGTTAAAAAACAATATTACCCAGCTGCCTATCTTCTTGCATCCTGGATAGATTGGTATATAGTTTTATTAATTTTAGAACTATTGTCACTTTCAAGATGTTTAAAAGCATTACCATCTACTACTTGGTAATACATATACACACATATTCTTTTATTTCTCTCTTTCTTATTTTTATTTTAAAGAGAATAAAAAATAACAAAATAACAACAACATGGACAAAAACAATTCACAGCATATTTTTTATCACACGCTCCAGGGATGTAGTAATTTTTCCCTTTACTTGACCATCATCCTATCTCTTCTTCTCAGTGGGGCATATGTATTCAACAGTGACTCATAATCCACTAGTCAACATAAAAACGATAAAAATGATACAGGATTTCAAAACAAAATGATAGGAATTAACAGTGGTTGTTATATTACATATTGTTATCTTCTGTGAAGTTGTTTAGATTACCAGATATAAGATTCTATATAATACTGTCTGAGATTGACTGGACAGCAAATTCTGTCTATGAACTAAGTCTCAGGAAATTATCACAATGAGCTTATGTTTAAGGTTTGAGCACTCTTTCAATCTGGATTTATTGTGACTGAGAGGTGACTTATATAGACTTTCAGAATCAGAGCTAGTAAAAACATTATATTCTGTCAGTGTGATCTCACACAAGCAAGACAAAGTACAGTATTTGAAGTAGCTTGTTTATGAACATAGTACTTATAAATGATGGGATCAGGTCAGGATCCTTGTTTTTCCTTGGGTTCAAGGTTACTGGACTCTTCCTTAGAAATGAATATTAGGCCAAAGCCATCTATATGGTATGCAGAGCCTTAAATGATTTTGTTCCCAAATTTTGTGAAAGC